TATAAAATAAAATTAGGATGGGGGAAAAAAAAAACCAAACCCATGGCCATTCCCACTCATAGTGATCCTATAGGTCATAGAAATCCCATAGCATTTCCAAGGCTGTAAATCTTTACAGAAGCAGACTGCTTCATCTTTCTTCCATGCAGCAGCTTCACAACCTTTTGATTATGAGCCAAATGCCTTAACCACTGTACCACTGTGCCACCAGAGCTCCTTAAAACTGAAAACCAAACCCACTGCCACCTAGTTGTTTCTGTCTCATAGCGACCCCCACTGAGTTTCTGAGGCTCCCTAGGGGTTCATCAATGGGTTTAACTCTCATTCCTACCTTCCAGGGTTTCTATCCACCCTCTGAATGCCTTAAAACCTACAGCCGAACATGAAAAAGGAACAGCATCAGGGAACAGCATCACCTTAGCCCAAAGCAATGGGCTTTGGGCCGTAAAAGTCCCATCTGGTAGTGTTGCCACAGTGAAAGCAATCACAAATTATTGTTTGAATCCTCAAGGCTTCTTTAGCTTTATTCTCTGATGCTTCACTATTAAGCAAAACCAAAGCAAACTCACTGCTGTGGAGTTGGATCTGACTCATAGCGACCCCTCCTTGGGTTTCCAAGGTGGTATCACTATGAAATAGGACCAAACGAGGGTCCCTGCCTAGTGCACAGTCAGGCCAAAACAGTTTACACACTGAGTGATTAAGAGGAGAGAAAGTTATTTATTGCAAAGCGGCAATGCAAGGAGGCAGGGGTACCTGTACCCAGATCTGACTCCCCACCCGAAACTCCATCAAATTACAGTTTTGTAGATTTCAGAAGAAAGGGTTATGCATATTCATAAAAATTTCAGGAATTTGGGTGCGAGATAGTTGATGATTAGCTGAAATTTCCTTCGCCTTGGTTTAAAAGGACAGTAGTGTTTTGATCCAGTGCACTTGCATACCAGATGAGTCACACCAGCTTCCTATCATCAGCTCATCTGGGGCTTAGGCAGAGGGGAGAGTGTTAGTTCCCAGTAACTTTGTTCCTTCTTCTCCGTCCCACTGCGCATGTCTATGGGCCAGAGTTAATTTTCAAGTTGTTTTCTAAGACATATTGAAGCGTTTATCACCTATGCCTAGGGAAATAGAAGGAAAGAATGTTTTTT